TAAATAGTGTTAAGGTCATGACTTTGATAGGTTAACTTTGTTTCTTCAGTTAGGTATGGGACTCATTGAAAAATACATAAAATAAATCTATTTTCTCTTTCTCACCCCTCCCTCGTGGGAAATTCGTTTAATTGTGGGATTAACTAAGGACACATTCAGTGGCTTTTACTTTCCTGACACAATCTTCCGGGTGATAATTTCCTAGTCTTGCATTTCTGCACTCAAATGCCAGTGAATATTCCTTCAAATAATTTATTTCGGTTCTGACTGAGGCATTTATTAACAGTCATGCCATTCATGCAGGTCACAGGAGAGTTGCATGATCATCTAACTTGCTGGGATGTGCTGCGGGCTGCACTTCCTGTCGGAACTGTTAGTGGAGCACCAAAGGTTTGGATTTTAAGCTCTCCTTTTCATCTCATTCTCATTTTGGCATAGTTGTAATCAAGTCTTGTCTCCATATAACTGAATCTGGAAGTTGGCGTGGTGAAATGTGTCCAATATATAGATAGTGTTTGTTTAATGTACCATGTCAGGGAATACGAGTTATTATAACATCATCTGGTGTGTTTGTTTGTTTAAAAACATGGTACTAGACCAAAAATGTGTACTGAAATCCAGAACAAGGGGTGATTACTAACTTTAAAAACTTCTATTACTCATTTACTTCATGCTAAAAAAGAATATAACAGTTCATTACTTTCTATCATGTAATTTTTCGTCATCTACTTTTTATATCCACCATTCCTCGTATTTTTAATTACGTCTTGATATTGTATGGTACAATTCTCCTCTGTTGGATTGCACCGCTATCATAATTTTGTCACTAGTTGGTTCCTTGCTCCTATTTTCCTCATTGTCACTGGTGGCTCTGAATCAGGTCAAGGCCATGGAGTTGATTGATCAGCTGGAAGTGACAAGGCGCGGCCCCTATAGTGGTGGCTTTGGAGGCATATCCTTTACTGGCAACATGGATGTTGCTTTGGCTCTCAGGACAATTGTATTCCCTACTGGGACTCATTACAACACAATGTATTCATACAAAGATGTGGAGAACCGTCGAGACTGGATTGCTCATCTTCAAGCTGGTGCAGGTATAGTTGCCGACAGTAATCCCGACGATGAGAACCAGGAGTGCCATAACAAAGTGGCTGGCCTTGCTCGCGCCATTGATTTGGCAGAGTCAGCATTCGTCAACAAATGATTTGTGAGCTTATTAACAAAAAACAATCGGTGAACATTCAAGCCAACCCGAGTTTTTGAGGGACTTTGTTGTGGAAAAGAAAAAAAGAAAAAGGAAGAAAAGACTAGAGGGCTAGCAATATGAAAATCAGTCAGGTTTTCCTGTTGGAATTTCTTGGTGGGGGGTTTCAGCTGAAAAAATAGAACTTTTGCATTTACAGTTTTTATTTAGTCATTTATAGTGTTAAGATTTGTAGGGAAGTCAGTTTGGTAAATTGACAAGACTTTTTAGGGCATATAAGTTTAAAACTTTAGTTAGGGAAGGGATGTTGACAGAAAGGAGAAACCTTTGTTTGTTATAAATAAACTTTTGTGTCATGCAAAACTCTTATCTTGACTCCATTCGCGTGTGGGAAGGTAGGGATGTGGACACCTAATCCAAAAACCCAATTCAACTTTTAAACCATACGAATCAAATTGAAAACCACAGTTTGGCTTAACATTAAAATAAGTCCATTTAGTAGTTAAATTACAATTTATTGTTTCAGAATAAACCCAAAATTTGTATTTACAATTATTTTTACAAAGAAAGTATAATTCCTACATGATATTAACACAGTTTACATAAAATTTTATAAGAAATTTAGATTTTCGTGTTCTATTTCCTTATGAAATTTCATATATTTTAGTACTTTCTGTCACATTTAATTAAATTAAATGAAAGAATTTTACATGGTTTTTATAATTTGTGACAAAGCTTAAAGAAAGCACAGTTTAGTCATAGCTAAAAATATATTTATATTACTTTAAGTCATTTGTATTAATATCAATAATTGATCTACTTATTAATTTTTATGTAATTTTATTACTTAAATAAATTTTTATAACAACTATATAATGAAATAAGGAATATTATTATCGAATTTAAACTTAAAATTTAGCAATAAGAGCATAAACTGCATAACAACACGTAATTATGAAGTTTTTCTATTTAAGTTTTAAAAAGTATAGCAGTTTTCTTTATATATTATCAAATCTTAGAGAGCTTTTTACACTTCGTCGAAAACATTAATAATGAACTGATGATGATGTGGTTGTCCAATCATGGTAGACTGTGCTTTGATGTGACCAAAGTTTGATCTATTGGCTGCACGCTATCATGTGGTTACACAGCCACAACATCACCATGATAGACCATCATTAAACTACAAATATAACTTAGTTGGTTCGTTCATATTTATACAAAATAATTACAGAGTGAGGACAACTCAAGTGTAAAGATTTTTATCAATAATAATTTGACATTAAGTTCATATTGATAAAATTATAATGTTATATTCATCATACAAGGGAGAATGTCTTGAGAAAACAACAACCCACAATGCACGCTGAGAAAATAAAATCACGAAACAAACATGATTGGCAAAGCCTGCATGCATTTCTCATGTTTTCTTTTCTGCTAGTCTTTTCTTTCCTCTCTAGTTGTCAAACATAGAGTAAAGGGTTGATTGGCATAAGAGAAAATTGGAAGGAAAAAGAATACCAATTCCTTTAAAAGTCTTCTTTTCTAATTGCAAAATTTTTCTCTGAATTGGATTGAGTAAAGAATACTAACTTAGCCAACTCTTTGGCCTTTCTTTGGATGCAACTATTGGAATTTCTCACCTATTATGAGATGTCCGTTACCAAAATGCCAAGCAGAAAGACTCCCTGTCTCGACAGTCGCTAGAAACATTGACTACTACCTTTACGTGGGTTCAAACCCGTGATCTTCTAGTGAAAAGAATGAACCTTTACCACTTAGGCTACCACAAGAAATGGATGCTTAAGTGCCTAAAAGAGAGGGCAAAGGCAATATGCACAAGCACACAGAAATACAGATAAGGCAGATATTGTCAAGTTGAATGAAGGAAGGAAAGGTGATGAGAGCATTTCTATCCTGAGAGTCTACCAGGGAAACTGCTTGAGCTTAGCTCTCTACAAAAGATTTGGAGCTTTTCTCTTGACAACAACAATTTCTAAGGGACTATTCCAACTAACCAAGAAAATTTCTCCTCTCTGGTATCCTCCTCTACCTGCGGGTGATAGGTGAGGGAAACATGACAGAGTCCAAATGATCTCAAACAAATCACTAAGATTGTAGTATCTCCTAGTGTCAGACAATGATCCAACCGCCACATTTCCCTCAAGCATCTGCAGCCTTGTCAAACCTCATTTCTATATCATTGGCGCTAAACCCAGTTGAAGGGAGTAAACCTCCCAGCTGATATTGGCTTCAAACTAGCCAACCTTAACAACTTCTGGCTGGTAACAAATTAGTTAGGGATGAGACTCGGTGTTTGACATAAAGTACTCTTGTGGAAACAGGATTATACTTCCCCTTTGTGAAGGTTAAATTTGTGAGTTCAGTAATGTGCCTTTGCCTTAGGAATTTTGCAGATTGAAGAACAAAAAAAGGAAACAAAAAAAAATTAGCTGGTTTTTTTTTTAGATAAAACAAATTAGCTGGTTAAATTCCTATTTCACAAGCTGTCTTCTCATGAAATCCCATATGTCAAGTGGAAACAAGAGACTTAGTCAGCCTAAGCCGGAGAAAGCATTCCTAGGCAGACATCACCAAACAACTCCAGAAAGATGATAAGGCTAAACAAAAGAAGACATGAGAGCATATGATGAAGTAATCTTCTTAGAGACCTGTAACCAAGTAATGCTGCAATTACTAGCTCAATTTTCTTCATTAAATAACAAAGGCATGAGAAAGAATCTTTGATCCTGAAACTACTCCAATAGAGCCTAAACATCTACACTAGATTGCTTTTTCTTTTTTCTATATTACATCTTGGTTTCCCATATTGCCAATTCTTGAATTCATAAAACTCACTTTACATCATACACATACACACTCCTATAGAAGCAAGTGGATCAGATCAGTTGAAGTAAGGCTCTTACACAACACAACTTTGATTCAATTCAGACCCAATTAATCAAAATCATCAGTCTAAAAACTCAAAAGTATCCAACACTGTTCTTCACATTCTTATTCTTATACTACGTTCATCACCAGAACACAACCCTTGTCAGCGTGAAAGCTGATTAGCATAGACTCAACCACATAATTCAACAGATTGTACGGACAATATATATACAAATAGCTATAAGAAATCATTAAGTACAAAACTTTAATCAATACTCACTGAAATTCAGCTGCATAATCACTTCAATGAAGAAAAACAAGCTTCACCCAATTAATGATTTGATCATTACTTACCAAACGGAAGCAGTATTTCCTTTTCTGAATAGAAAAAAAAAAAGCACAAGCACTTGAACCCATAATAGGAAAAACAAAGAAGAAAATATATCTTTACCAGTTAGACAACAATATACAAGAAACACAAGCAAATTCACTAGATTATGCCACGTGTACAACCACAGATATCAGATCAAATCAAAGGGCTGTCGTTCATTTTACCTCCAATCTATCTCTTGCTATCATAATCAACGATCTCAGAATCGGTCACCGATCTCGAGTGCTGCACTATGGACCTTCCAATCGAGTTGATCCAGTCCTCCTTCTCCTTCTCCGAGTCGGCGATGAAATACATGGTGTCGTTCCTCGTCGACAGCTCGAAAGCGAACTGCTTGTTGAGAATATCCTCGGCTCCCTTGACGGTGAGGCAGGTGGCCACTGGAATGACGCCACGCGGAGGGGAGGCGCGCGTGACGTGGGAATCCTTGAACCAGAAGAGCTTCCCCTGTTTCAAAACGAACCACCGGCGCCGCCATGTCTTGATGTACTCGCCTTGCTTGGTGAGCCACCCGGTGCGTTCTGGGTTCGACCAGAACTCGACGCCGTCGTACTCGTCTGATTTGTCGGTCTGACCCATCGCGGCTCGCCACAGGCTAGCCATGGATGGAGCTGGATTTGGGTCTGGGTCTGGGTCTGGGTTTGGGTTTGTGTTACAGGGTTGGCGAAGGAAGCGAAGGAGGAGCTAAATGCCTAAAAAAAGCTTCAAACTTTTTGTTTTTCTAGAAGATTAGAATTCACATAAAAAGAGAAATATGCCCTCTTATAATTATATAAACAAGTTCGAATTTTAATTTTTTATCTTTATGATTTAATTATGTAAAATTTTTATTTTAAATTTTAATTGAATGTTGAATACTTATTATTTCGTATATAATTATTTATTTTTAATGAGAATCATTTAATATATGTTTGTGTTCAGAAATTTCAACATGTGTAAATTATTATTATTATTATTATTTTGCATAGTTTACAATTTTATACAAAATAATGAAATATAAAATTATAAATTCTGAATTTGTATTGCAAATTATTAAACTTAAATCAAAATAAAACCGAACCACAATGAACAAGTTGGGAATTTTCTTTAGTTTATTATATTTAAAATGTTTGCTCACACAAACACACACACATGTATGTATATATATATATATATATATTTACAGACACACATTCAAGAAATGAGAGGTCTTGGCTCTATTATTTGGTGTCTCTTTCTTTTATGGGTCATTTGTGAAGACTGATAGTTGAGGAATTGGATAGTTGGAACACCGGTGTGTGTGTGTGTGTGTACATATATATATATATATATATATATATATATATATATGCATGTAACATAGAATATTTCTGTTGGATGGTCACTCAAAACCTGTTAGGCCACGCAGTCTTTATTTAGATATACCACCTAACCTACTCTTTATTTAGTAGTACCTAATCTATTATATACTATTTTACATTTGCCAATTTTAACTTAAAAATAACGGTTAGGTAAGTCTTTTCACTCACTAGATTAGGCTAACTAGTAATATATTCCTTATAAACTTCATTTACATAACTTTAAATTGGTAAACTCGTGTGAATTTACAAAATTTAAAATTAAGAAAATATTACGTCAAGTACAAACTTAAGAAAAATTTTAAAGGCCCGCCCATTCCAGTATGATGGGCTCGGGTCAGGCTTGGCCTTCCAAGCATTATTGGGTCGGTTCGGGTTTACCACTCGACAACAATTCAGGTTGGCAAATATTATCCGACCCGATTTATTCCCTCTCGTACTGCTCTCTGATGACCGATCCGCGGCGACCCGTTTCTCTTTCCTGTCTTCTTCGCAGCAAACGACGTTTCTCTCTTCTTACACCCGCAACAGTCACTGCAGCTGGTTGGTGGACCTAACTAAGCACGTTCACGCCCAGAGAAAGAAGTTAAAAAAGTCACGGAAAGGTGAAATGGCATGCGCAGCTTTGAGAAAGCAGAAAAGAGCAGAGCAAAGAGAGCTTTGCGTGGACTTGACAGAGTTCGGGGAGTTGGACTTTGAACATTTAAGGAGGAAGAAGAAGTCTTGCAATTGCCAAGCGAGAAATCTCGAATACTGCTCTGGGTTAAAAATCTTATGCAGAGATCAGAGAAGACTGGAAATGGGCATGCTATTTGCATAGATGTAGAAATTATGGAGGAAATTAAGCAGGAATGGAGAATTTTTCTTCCATTTCGCTAGCAGATGAAGGCCGGAGAGAGGATCATGTTAGATAAATAACACGAGGGAGGGAGAGTTGAGAGGAGACAGCGAGCAATAGACATGGATAAGGCGAAATGGGCTTCTTAGGGTTTGAAGTGGGGGAAACAGATGTGGATTGGGACGGGCTTCTTTCTAGGGTAGAGAGGATGTTCCGGGGCGTGATCTAGAAGCTGAAGGACTTTGCTTCAAGCGTGGGTCGAGGTCCACCTCTTCCCTGAACAAAGCTTCAATTTTGAGGTAAGGAGTTACTTTGAGAAACCCCATTGGAATCTAAAAGACCGAGAATTTGTGTTATGTGAATTTAGGGTTCAATTAAACGAAAATTTATGTGTTTTGCTGGTTGAGAACTTGAAATGTAACCTGTATATCTATGTTTTACTCCCTAAACGACTGCGGGTCAATGTTACCAGTTGTGAACCAGAGTTTGTAAAATGAACTAGATATAGGAGATTATGGAAGCTGCTGATACATCTCCTATTGTGAGAAGAGAGTGAAAGGTCGTCTCTTAGAACAGACAGGAAAATAAACATATTAGGTCTTACTTTTAAGAATTGAAATATAAGGGACCAAAATGAGAATGAAGCAAAAGTTGGTGGACCGAATTTGCAATTAAGCTTTCTAGGTATCCGTGGATTAATTTTCTTTGTTTTCCAAATGCGTCGTGGGACGTCGTTGTATTTAGGCTACATTATTGTCGAATAGTGATGAGTAAGATAAGTATTTAATTTAGGCTATGACTGATACTTAGGCTACATTATTGTCGAATAGTGATGAGTAAGATAAGTATTTAATTTAGGCTATGACTGATACATTGGGTAAAACAGAGTAAACTTCAGAGAAGCTTCCTCATCCTATCCCACCCAATATTTAGTAGGAAATATTTGTGGGTAGGATAAGATATTGCCCATCTTAAAATGGTTGGTAGCGTTATTCCTTCCATGAGAGGTAGCTAAACAGTGTATATCTAGATAGTGCTTTAAAAAGGCTAGAACGTCCATTTTGTTAATTTTCTTCTCATATATATCTTTCCAAGAATACCATAACTGTTACCATTGCCTCTCCCATGGTCCCACCTGCCCACTTCCACTGACACTCTTATTATTACTGACCACCACTATCATCATCCAATCTCCATTAAATTCATAATGTGATACTTCAATTTTACATCAGGATAATATGTGATTGTTAGATTTCATATAAAAGCTCATGTCACAAACTACCAATAATTTGAATTTGAACTTTGAAAACTAGTGATTTAGGTCCCAAAGTTGTTGGATTCAGAATGTTATAAATAGTATCAGAATATGTGTCAATTCAATGATTCTAAATTAATGCAAAAATTATTGAGCTAGTGGTTACTGGGTTCAGAGTGTTACACTCAGCCACCTTCAGCTGCCACCACCATTTCTACTGCCACCACGACATTGTCACTGCTTGTTCTGCCATCCTTATCATTACTGCCACCCCCACTATTGTTGTACATGTTGTCATCAGTACTGTTGTCACTCTTGCTGCTGCCACCACTGCACAACTCTGAATTATTTTTTTTGAAATAAAAGTAAGAGTAGTATTACACACGACTCTGAATTATAAGTATGAATTAAGAAACGAGTAATATGATCTTTGTGTTATATTGTTCAGTTCTTTACTTAATCATCTCAAACAGATGGTAACATAAGAATCTTTATTATAAGTACCTTAATATCTCAAACAATTGTATCCTACCCCACTCACTACCGTATCCAAATACAGAAGTAGCCTTGTTGAATAAGAGGGTGAATAGAATACTATACATGTAAAAAATTATCACAATACTTTTTAGATATTATAGTTAAGATTTTAATATAATAATCTTAAAATATATTGACAAAATACATGATAAAGGCAAGTTTAAGATCAATCCAAGAATTAGGCAAATAGTTAATTGAGAGATTGACAGTTCCTGATTATGTACTTTGTTGATTAGGCTACCAAGAAATTAGTACTACTTATAACTTGATTTTACTTGAAAGAAAATCTTTCCCTGATAGAAATCAGGCCCTTGGTGGCGTCTTTCATGGTTATTCTGCCATTAGGTTGACTTGCAGAACAAGCAATTCCAATCCTAAATATGGAAATGAAGCATTGTTCTATTCTGCTAATTTTGCTTTCAATTTCGTTGTCTTCTTCTTCAATATGCAGTAGTTTGGGATCTATGATTTCCAGAGTTTTTTCTGGTATAGAATTCTTTACAAACATGTGGAGGTTTGTTCCGTCTTCAAAGATGGTGTCTGTGGGTCTTCTTCCTGTGAACATCTCTAGCAACAGGATGCCAAAGCTGTAGACGTCACCAGATGTTGAAGGTGACCCTCTCATGGCGTACTCTGCATATCACAATTATTAATAAGTACTCACATGACATACAAAAGATAATCAAACGCATATAGGAAATTAAAATGCTATTGGCTTTGGCTAACATTACATGTTTTACCTATTAATTTTACAATGTTGATTTGTTGATTGCTTTCCCTTCTCTTTTGATTCTTATTTTGGTCTTGAAGAGACTCTCTGTCGCATACACAAGCTTAAAATGTCTCTGAACATGATGATGTGGGTATTAACTAGTTTAATTATCACTTTCTCTTGCAGAAGAACTTAGACCTAAATCCCACAGCATCTAAGGGGATCTTGACATTAATGAAAGAGAGAGCCAATTATTAATGTATAAATAATATATTGCGCTTTAGCTATCAGTTTTTAGAAATACTGATTCAACTCTTTTACTGAACATGGTATAGGAGCCAGATATTAGGTTTGAATCTTGACTGCTGTCCCATTTCTATTTAATTAATTTCGAATAGGGAGGAGCTATATTTACCAATCCACCTATGGGCTTGAATGTGGTGGAATTTGTTAACTATATAAATAATAGATTGCTTTCATCTTTAGAAATTTAAGCTTTGGGAAAAATTGGTTCAATTCTGGCCAGCTTAGTTAATGAAATCACTTGGAGTGCATAAAACTGAATTCTGATAAAATATTTTCTTATTGTTATTTGCACAAGGATAGTTTGCTGCAGAAAGGAGGCATACCTGGGGCGACGTAACCAATAGATCCTCTTAGCCCAATTGAACTAGACTCATTCCAAAGACAAAAATCTGTGCATTCTGTGAGAAACTTTGAAAGGCCAAAATCACTAATATGTGCACATAAATCAGAATCAAGAAGAACATTGCTTGGTTTGAGGTCACAATGAATAATTGGGGTGTGGCAGTGATAGTGAAGATATTCCAGTGCAGAAGAAACATCTATTGCAACGTTGAGCATCTGAACACAGGTCAACTTCTGTTGATTGTTCTCACTTGTATCTTGGTGCAGCCATTTGTCCAGGCTCCCATTAGACATGAATTCAAGTATCAGAGCTCGGAATTCATTACCTCTAATGTCGATGCTGGAGCATGAATTTAAGATCTTTACAAGATTCCGGTGTCGGATATTCCTCAAAGCTTCATATTCTGCCATGTAGGTCTTGGTTGCTTCTCTTTGCTCAAGGTTTAGTACCTTCACTGCAATATGCTGTGTGCTGTCATTGAGAATTCCCTTGTAGACGGAAGCAAAACTACCAGCTCCTATCAAGTTAGCCTGGGAAAATCCATCTGTTGCTTTATGCAGATCTTTGTAAGAAATACCAGAATGCCACCGTTCCACCATAGGAGATGTGAAACATGTTTTCCTTCTTAACCTTTTTAGGACAAGAATTGTGAGAATACAAACTAGTAGAGAAAAACCTGAAATAGAACTTACAGTGATTACTATGATCACTTTAATGGATACAGATGTTTCTTCTTCTTCGGGTTCCTGAGTTGGGCAGGCAGGCAATTTCAGGTGTGAGATACCTCCACAGAGCTTGCTATTCCCTGAAAGTGAACTGGCTGAAATGTTTGAAAAGACTCCTTTTCTTGGCACTTCACCCTCAAAATTGTTAAAAGACAGATTCAAGTGTTTCAAATGGACAATATCCTGTAGGAATTCTGAGATTGTCCCAGACAAGTTGTTTCTGGAGAGATCCAGGTCTTGTAGACCCTTCAAAGCATTGAAACTTGAAGGAATCTCTCCTTCAAAGAAGTTTCCATTAATAGAAAGCTGCTCTAAGGTTAAGCAATTGCCTAGCGTGCTGGGGATGTTTCCGGTAAGTTTATTTTCTGATAGATCTAATTCTTTTAGATTTATCAAGTTACCCACTTCAACAGGTAAGTTTCCACTCAAAACATTTTCTGCAAGATTGAGAGAAATAGACAGAGAGGGAAGGCCAATAACTTCCTTGGGTATGTTGCCGCTAAGTTTGTTATGAGAAAGGTTCAGAACTTGCAAATGTTGGCAGTTTCCAAGAATTGCAGGGATACTTCCTTCTAGGATGTTTCCATCTAATCGGAGTTCAAAAAGTTCAGTGATGTTGCCAATGGAGAGAGGGATATTGCCAGATAGTCTGTTTCCGTTCATAAGTAGACGTCTCAGGCTTGAGAGTTTTCCGATTTCCTGGGGAATTTGCCCACTGAATAAATTCTGCTGAAGATATAAGCTGCTCAGGTTTATGAGATTCACAATTCCTGCAGGAATGGTTCCCGATATTCTGTTGTCTCCTATTAGCATTGTTCTGAGGTTAATGGAGAAATTAGCTATTGAAGTTGGCAATTCTCCACTGAATTGGTTACTATCGATGCCTAGCAATTCCATTTTGCTGCAGTTGATTAATGAATTCAGGAAGTTCAGGTTGCTGGCTTCTTCTTTATTCCCAAGCATGTTTCGTCCAACATTTAAACTTCGAAGACCCTTTAAGATTCCTATATCATTAGGCATTCCCCCGAAAAAATGATTATCTGGGAAATCAATTTGCTGGAGACCACTGGCATTGGATAATGACGATGGAATTCGCCCTGAAAACTGATTTACTCCAACCGCAAGTATTTGGAGATTGGGAAAATTAGTTCCTAGACTTTCTGGCAAAGTCCCTGTCAACTGGTTATCTGCCACAGCAAATATAGTAATTCTTGACAGATTGAATAGTGATGGGGGGATGATACCGGACAGATTATTTGCACCAACCTGGAAAAAGCTCAGGGCTGACAGTCGGCTGAGATCTTCTGGTATGTTTCCACCTAGGTTATTTCGCGCTAATGAGAGATTTAAAAGTGAAGAAATGTTACCCAACACAGGGGGTATGCCTCCTGTCAAATTATTAGCGGCAATATGCAAAGCAGCAAGCTTTGGCAAACTGCTGAGCTCCTCTGGAATTCTTCCTGTCAGTTTGTTGAAGTTTAAATGGAGGACTCTAAGCTCTGAGCAATGACTTAGATTTGCTGGAACTCCCCCTCCAAGAGAATTTTCATTCAAGAAAAGATACCGAAGCCAAAACAAATTGCCAATTCCTGGTGGGATTTCTCCGCGGAAGTTGTTGCCACCAAGGTTTAGGACTTGGAGAAAGGAGAGATTACCTAAAAACGGAGATAGTCTGCCTCCGAATTTCCGAGATTGCAAGTCCAGGACTATGACACGTTGTCTACGGTGACTGCACGTAACACCTGGCCATTCACAAAAGTGAAGAGAATTATTCCATGAAGTCAAAACTTGTTCTGGATCTTCAGTTACATCTTTCTTGAAGGCAAGCAAGGCAAGTTGATCGGTTTTGTTCGTGAGCATGGCAGATGAAGACAGAGAGTATAAGTGAACTACAAACAAGAAAATAATAATAAATAAATCCAAAACAGGTATGCAAGCTCTTCTTGGAATATTTTTGTTTAAGAACTTCATTTCTGAAATAAAATCAGTTTGTTTTAAAACCGAATCATCAGAATTCAGAAGATCTCATTTGGCATGAATTTTTATAGCAAAATCTGGTGTAGATTGCTTCATGTTTGAACACAGGAATGATGAATGGCAAAGTCAAAAAGTAAATTTCTTTGTTCGTTTTTTTCCTTTGAAACTGAAATATTATAAAAAAACAGTGATCTTTCCCTTATGGTCTAAAGAAGCTGATTATTAAATTATAAATGCATAATAATGATGATGATGTATAGATATTTATATATATCATTAATGAAGTGAATGTAAATCTACCCCAAGAATAGGTCAAATTTTACTTTGCTTATTTTTTTTTTCTTCTTAGTGTTGCAAAACAGCTTATCCGGTGGAAGTTGCAGTTGCTGAGTATTTGTCGCTACCCCTGTCAAATACAAAATTAAGTGTCAACGTTGACTAAATCTTATTTTAAAAATTAAGTATATGGTTCTCATGCATAGTCAAAAAGCATTTATAATGTTTTTCGATATTCATAGTTCGTTAACATTTCTTTCTGCCAAAGCATATATGATTTTTCATGAAATAACTTGAAAAGGAAGCAAAAGTTTGTCAACGTTTTGTTACAAGCCCCCGATTTTGGTTGGACTAAACTGAACTATTAATTTTATTTTATTGACATATTTTATTAATGAAGTAATTGATAGACGATAATTATAGTATAATTTAAAAAAAAAATGAAAATACACATATTTGAATTGAAAGAAGATTAAATTATTAATTTGATTATAAAAGAACATTAAGTTAATTTTATTATTAGTTTAATTTTATTAAATTAGATTAAATTTTTAAATAAATTCACTAGAATTTTTTAATTTATTTTAGCAATAATCTGGGTAATGAATTTTAAAATATTTTGTACCATCCAATTCCATAAAAAAATGGAAGTAATGTTGCCTAAAATTTTGTATAAAAAAACATCTGCAAACTAATCAGAGAGTTAATATTAATTGTACCACTTATTTATTTTTTTAACTATATATATCAAATCGTACCACTTATTTTCTTTAATTATATATATATATATCATTTCTCAATTAATAACACGCGTGGAGCCATTATGGATTATTTCTTAATTATTTTGTTAATCTATTTATGATAAATTAATTGGCATTGGAAATGGGCCTCGTTTAGGTCCATCAAAGCCCATAGCGAGCCATCATTACTTTTAACTATCTTATTAATCCATTTATGATAGTTTAAATGGCATTTAATGGGCCTAATTAGTGAGGCCCACAAAAGCCCATAGCGGGCCAGGAGTATTAATTATTTTGTTAATCCATTTACGATAACATAATCTCCATTGGAAATGGGCCTCGATAGGCCCATCAAAGCCCATAGCAAAGCCCACAAAGGCCATTGCGAGCCTTTTTTATTTCTTAATTATTTTGTTAATCCATTTATGATAAATTAATTGGCATTGCTAATGAGCCTTGATTAGCCCCATCAAAGCCCATTGCGAGGCCCACAAAAGCCGAATACTCTCGGATTTCTCCGCCGCATATCTCTGTTTTTTTCTTCTTCGCCATCATTTCGCTTGGCAGTTGCCGGAGACGAAAAAGAAAGGGGGAGATTTTTTGCTTGTCCGTACAAAAAGATGTCTACTTCCGACGACTCATTTGCTCAACTTGTCGACGACTCACTCGACCCGGTCCTTACTGGCGACTCTGCTCCTCCGTACGAACATGATGATAATGGCTTTGTAGGCTACAACTGGAAGCGGATTGTCTCCTTCCCCGAAACTCAGCCTTTTACTGAGGTTGACTCGGGAAAGGACGAAGCTGACGATGTGTTCGTCTCTCAGCCACCGATCTATGGGGACTACTCGAATGGAACGGGATTCGATGGCGATGGCCCAATTTTGCCGCCTCCGATGGAAATGGAGCCGGAAGAGTGGTTTGCTCTCAGGGAATGGAGAAGGTAGGTATACTCAATTTTGATTGTTTTATTTTCCTGTGTTTTTAAACTAACTTTTCGTTTGGCTTTGTGAGAAAATTGGAGGAATTAGATGTGAAGGTTTTGAGTTTTGTGTTTTCTTTATGCTTTTCTAGTTTAGGTCATGCGGAAATCAGTTGTACTAATCTAGATAATTGAGGAGTTGATTATTTCTCTGGTTTGTTATAGTGAAATAGCACTAGCAATTGAGGCTTCAAGTTCCTAGTTTTTATATCAGGAATCCGGGAATGTCTAAACTCTATTCAAGTTTTCAGTAATGAGAATTCGAGATATTATCTTGAATCAGCTGTACGTTACTGTTTCATGTGGACTAGAACTGGGCTTTTTTCTATAAATTCTATGTGTGTTTTTTGTTGAGCAAAGCAGTTCATGGGTGGGTTCTTCTGGATGTAAATTTTTGTTCTTTGTCCTTTTGATGGAAAACTTCAGCTATGTTATATGGATTATGATTCTTTTTTTAAAAGTTTTGTAGCTAAAGCTGTATAATTGATTTGTGAGTAAATTCACAAGATTTTGATGATGATGAAAATGAAATTCTTCATGTTTTCGCTATCTGGAATTGTTTTGGCTAACTGCTCCAGACTGGTTGTTTTTTCATTATCAAAGATGGTTTGGTCTTATTTCTTTACTAGTCAATCTTCATCATGATCATCTCTCTTTCCTTTCGGAATGAATTGTTACTTATTCTGCCTTGCGGGTCCAAGTCTCTTGATTATTTTAGGGATGTCTGTTTGATTATTTTGCGAAGATACTAGAATGTTTTGTTGTTTTGATATATTTGTCTTCATTTCTTCTTGTTAGGATGAGTTTTTCTCCTCTGGTTTTATACTTTTTCTCCTCCTCCTAATAATAATATTTCTCTTCATCTAAATTATTCATGGTTGGCATTGTTGCTGTAACGTCCACAGGCAGAATGCTATCCAACTGGCAGAAAAGGAGAAGAGAGAGAAAGAGTTGTTGAGTAAGATAATTGAGGAAGCAGATCGGTATAAGGTTGAGTTCCTTAGGAAGATAGAGATCACCTGTGAACATAACAAAGCCACCAACAGAGAGAAGGAGAAGGTAAGATTTGATTTCTATTTCCTTCTTTGGAATGTATTTGTTTTTTGTTTTAATATGTTTTTCCTTTGGCTCATTCGTGTTTGCCATCTGTCATCTACATTTGCACTTATGTTCTGTTTTTCTAATGTGCTTATGATTTGTAAGTTTCGACTCATGAGTCGAGCCAAGTATCATAACTTCTTCTACCTATCCTGTATGTTGTCCTTTTCATTCCGCGTTGAAATAAAAACTTATTAGTTTTTATATTAGTATACCAGATTTGACTACGATATTTTACGAAAAAATGGTTCTTCATATTCATAGAGGAGAACAAATATTTCTTTTTTGAGTGAGAATTTTACATAACCGGGGGACCCATTATTTATAATATTTATAATTGAAATTGAGAATTGAAAAAGGGGTTCCATTATCATCTTCCATCCAGCCAGTGAAGTCTTCTTTTAGATGAAAAATTTTGTTTTTAGATTTCTTAGTTACTTACCCTAGTCAAATATTGCATAAATTAGCCATGTATTCTGGCGTCTGGCTTTCAGCGATAATCTGGTTTAGTTTAGATTTCAGGGCTATAATTTTCAACTTGTTCTTTATATTCTCAACCTTTAAAATTAAAGATAATAAGAAGTCAAAGAACTGCATCTCTTCCTTCCGGAGGAACTTGACTGCAGCGACTGCAGCAACACAATGCGCCTTGGAGGTTAGATAGGCACCTTGGTGTTGCAAGCTTAAACATCACAATTTGATTAACCAATAGCCAACCATCATCTATCATTATTGTTAGATTGGCTTTAAGTACAACAATTCCTATGGCTAAGAAGGAATTTCATTAATCAGAAAGAATTTTTTCTCCAAAAAGAATCTTAGACCTATTGTTTATGTCTTCTCCTGTATCAGCTCTTTGTTGCCAACCTGGAAAAGTTCCACGCCGAGGCTGATAAAAATTATTGGAAGGCAATTGCAGAGCTCATTCCAAACGAGGTCCCTACCATCGACAAAAGAGGAAAGAAAGATCAGGAGAAGAAGCCTTCAGTCGTCATTCTTCAGGGTCCAAAGCCGGGAAAACCTACTGATCTTGCAAGGATGCGTCAGATACTCCTAAAACTGAAGCACAACGCCCCTCCACACCTGAAGCTTTCTCCACTACCTGCACCAGACACTGGAAAGGATGCAAAAACTGATTCACCTCCTAAAGTCACCACCATGACCACCGCTCTAGAGGCTGTTGTTGCTGCTTAATGTTTCTTCTGATATTTCCTGGCTTCTATAAAGAGTGATTTGTCAATGATGCCGAACTCTGCAAACTCTATTATTGAGAAACTCGTATACCAGCAATCTTTTTTTTTTTTCTCTGTAAATTCTTTGACAGGAGCTTCAGGGCCAGAACCCTGTTATTTATCTAGAATTTTATTCTTAAAGAGGATTAATTCGGTTTTCATATTTACACTCTTTTCTTTTTCTTTCCATTTCATTGCAGCTTGTTGGGAATGAGTAAAGGAAATATGCTAACGTGGGGCTTTCTGTAAGTAATTTGAAAGAAGCCGGGCCCTTAGGTTATATAAAAAAAAGGGGATCTGGGGGTTAATTTATAAAACGCATTGATACAATTTGGTCTGTTGAGTTTTCTGTCAGAAGAGTCCGAGCGGATATTTTACTCTCTATGTAATTATACTATTTTCTTTCTAAATGATACTTGAGCCACAAGTGATGAGAAGAGGCAACTGGTGGTTACCGTCTTTCTTCAGCCAAAGTCGAAGGCTGCAATCAATCAAGAGTATATTTAATCTATACAGTTCAATAATGACACAGTTGGACAGCCCTGCCAAAATGGGAATCTGAATCACATGCTCACATGCTCACATGCTCAAAAGTGAAGTTGTGAGCCCATCACTATTTATCTATCAGAACCAAGAAAGAGACTTAGCCAATTCTTTACATATATAATTTCGAGGCCGGTCTGCAAGATATTGGTCCCCTTCTATTATTCATCATTAGATTCCCTTAAAAGCAATTCAATAACAGCATTAAACTACAAGTCTGAGTAGAAGCATGATATTTCCCAATATTGGAGACAAATCTTACGTTTTATGGTTTACCATATCCTCTTCAGTGATAATAAATCGTACCAACATCAATGTCCGGGACGAAATAGAAAACCTAGTAGAGTACTAAAAGATATTTTCAATGGAAAAAGCCATAAAAGGAGTGGAGAAGAGGACTTCCTCCAAGTGAAAATTAGATTGACAAAACTGCAAAAATGAGATGAAAGCTACTGCCACGAAATCTAGCTTATGGCTACTTAAGAATTCAGGATATAAACAAAGCCTATGTTAGTACATTTATCCAAAAAGGTGTGTTGGCAGCAAGGCCCTACTCAATGTTCCTAGTAAAAGTCGCCTTCCAAGGGTATCTGCCAGTTATGCTTGTTCAGGAGTGTTTCAGAGAACTTTAGTCTTAGTTGTTAGTACTTCCTGCTTGATTCCCAGTGTCTGTTAATACAGTTAAGAGTTGGAAAGTTCATAAGATTGGACAAACTTTAACTTCATTGCAGAAGCAAATTCAATCAGGAAGGAGGGAGAGGAGAGGACAACATTTCGTGCAAACTGTCTAAAGCTAGCTCACAACTTCTTTGTATCTAACTGGGTTTTTCCTAATAATAATACAGAGACCGTGAATTACACAACAATCTAATCGGATTTAGGTTATAGTGAACGCCTGCGTGACTCAGATCAAGTTCTTCCCTGAAATTGGTTCTCTTTCAACTGTCAAGCTTTGTAGATTTAAAATAATGATGTAAGATGAATTTAAGCTTTATGTATCTCGGGAATTTAGCTCTTACTCATCCCCTCATACGTGCATTTCTTGGAGACCGGCCACATCTCTCTATGCCAATATCATCTTCAAGTTCACTCCCATCTAAACATAGCCCATTATTGTTGACACTCACTTCAGAACTTGCATTGCTGCTTGTGGCAAGAGGAGAATCTGAAACACTAACTGTTCTGGTTCGTGTATTATGTCCAGATCTCACGCTGTACATAGAGGATGCTGGAATATTTGTCATCAGGGGTCTTAAGTTACCAGGAATGCTTCGCCTTATATCCTGCTCAAGATGAGAATGATATCAGAATAAACTTTTTGAATTCATATCATCTATCTCCTTTCACTTGTTATTAACGAGTATCAAGATCATGGAGATGAACGTTTTCAAACACAGTGAAATAACTAGAATTGGAAAAAAAAAATAAATTGCAGGTTGCAATTTCCAGGGTCAATATGAAGAAGAAAGTATCCTATTCTCAATCAGAAGAAAACACCACAAACAGTGCAAAGATATACGCACCATATGCCTTATAGCCATATCCAATGATTTCTTTGAGAGTGTTCTTCCAAAGCCCGAACTGTCTGGGGATGAAGACTTTGCAGACAGATTACCATGAGGGGAGTGTTTGTCATCTTGCCTGGGCGGTACCAATTTTCGCATGTTTATCACTCTTTCTACCATCTTTGTTCCAATTACAACAGGGCTCAAATTGTCATTAGACTTAGAATACCCACGACTGACAGCAGGAACAGAGCTCCCACTAGTGTGCATCAGAACACCATTCGGTGTTCGTCCTCTAGATGGAGAGCATGATTGTCGTCTTGGTCGTCCCATAGGAGTTGGTTCCACAGAAGAAGACCGAGAAGTTGGTGCTCCAGGCCTGCCCCTTGCAGTTGAAAGTGGCCTTTCAGGTAACAACGTCCTTAAATTGGGTGGTGCATCTAGCGAGAAACCTGGCATTTCTGAAGGCTTCCATGGCCTTGATTTTGCTGTTGGAGAAGTGCCACGGGAGGGAACAGGATTCTTTGATGCTGTAGGATTCGGCTTGACAACTGTAGGAGATGATTTAATTGGAGGAGAAGTTATGCTGGGCGCACTGGATGGCGTAGATGGTCGACGAGTTGGTGTTGCAGCCCTTGATGTAGATTTTGACGGAGGTACAGAGGGTCTCGAAGTTGGCTTTGAAGATCTTTCAGCAGACCTTGATAAAGGAGTGCTTGATCTTGTTGGAATCATGGACTTAGTTGGGGCAGCCACTGCCTTAGTTGCAGCAGCAGTGGGCTTAGCTGCAGTAGCTGTAGGCCTAGTTGCAGTAGCTGTAGGCCTAGTTGCAGTAGCTGAAGGCTTAATAGAAACAGCTATGGACTTATTTGAAGACATAGAGGATTTAGCCGAAGATAATGTAGGTCGAGAAGTGGGTGTAGAAGGTCTTGAAGCTTTAGAAGGTGTGGTCAATGTGGGGCGTCCTGTTGGTGTTCCAGGTCTTGAACCAGGACCCCCTGATGATGAGGGTCTTCGAGTCCCTCCAATTGAAGAGTTCAACCCAGGTGAAGAAATTATCTGTTTGGATACTAAGTTACTCCTTGCAGTAGGATCCAGCTGAGGATTTGCCAACTATAGCACAATGAAACAAATTGCAAGGTACAATAAATCAATGAAATGAAGCAACTTGAGAAGCCAAAGATCAAAAGATAACCAATGATATCATCCTTATTTTCCTAGTAAAATCAACCTCTTAACTGGTAAAACAATGGTTGTAAAACTCAAAATCAAAACTGTTTCTAGAACTTAGATGCACAGAAAAGGTGCATGCAGAATGCAATGGCACGTGTAATACATAACAACATGGAAAAATTAAAATCCATAAATTAGGGTGTTCCAGGGATTTAAGCATTTTAAGTGGTCCTGCATATGAAGCTCCTGATCACCATGAGGCTCCCTTTACTGACATGCACTTAAATAAGAACACAGAGCCTTCTGCAATCTTGCCACTTCTAACAGTCTTTACCTCAAAAGCTTGGCAAACAGCAGTTTGATTTGCAACTAAAATGGTGAATACACTAACTTCTCGAGAAGAAAATTAAACCATAATAAGCAAAAATTTCCGTTTACACCATCTGAGAGAGAAAACTTCCAGTTTCTACTAAATGCCAACTCAAACCCTTCATAACAATGTCTATCGTAAAAAAAGTGTTTATTAGCACTTACTCTAGATTTCAAGGCAGTTGGTCGAGCCTTTGGAGCATCAAGCTGACTCATAACAGTCTTGTGCGATTCCATCTCCAAGGATGGGAAAAGAGGTGTACCAGGAGGTGTAAGAAGCCTGAAAAATGATTGAAGAACTTAAAATTGAAGTATAAAATAATTGAACCATCAATTATCTGCAAAAAAAAAAAAAATGCCACAAGTATGGAAAAATACAAGATGAAACTACATGTTCATCCACTTAAGGGATGGAAAAAGAAGCATATGCAGAATAGGAGGAACATCACATCATGGCAAACTCTGAATAGTAGTTGAACTGCCAATACAACCCCCTCCCTCCAACAAAGGAAGGAAAGAAAAAAGAATATTGGCATTACAAACTAAAATGGAAACGGGCAGCAGGACCAGGGTATGGGAAATAACGAATTCAAATACATTATCGGGTTCCTCAAGTTTCATAAAGTCAAAAAATTTAGACAAACTAAAGTCACAATTTAACAGTTCCGAGCATCCAAACTTTCAGAACATAATTATCCACATCTAAGGTGGATGGGATTCATTAAATTTACTATAATATTAAAGTTCCTTTTTCAGAGATTTGATTACTGGAAAGGAATATACTTAATTGTAATACTATAAGTACAGCTTCCGAACCCATAAAAGAGCAAATTTGTTACTACTTAATGAACCTTTTTTAACTTTCCAGCACTAGGGACAAATCTTCGGACGCCTGTTCTTCCTACCCTCACAAAAATCACTTTAGTTGTCTCCCCTTGAAAACCAGAGAAGACTATTGCAAAGGTTAGAGCACAACTGTCTTTAAATTTCTGTTTAGGGAATGATCTGACAAAGAAACATGGATAAAGAAAACACTAAGTTGGACTCAAACGGTGGCAACATCAGGTCAGAAGTAGTAAAAAATAACTCAAGCGATTGTCAACCCCAATTTTAAGGCTTGCTTTAGTTGCAATATCCAACTTAATCAGAGAAGCCATGGTAGTAGGACTCCTTACAAGGACAATTTGTAGCCCATTTATAGCTAATTGGGTTATTATACATAAGTATGAGGTTTGATCCCTGATCACGTTTGTTTTCCCTATGTAATAACTTACCTATCTAATAAAATTTCTTGACTCTTCGAAAAAAAAAAAAAACTGGGATTTCCTCAGCTTATGAAGTTTTTAAATTTTTACTGTGACATAATATGGGACTTCTCTACTAGTGACTTTTGGCAAGTTAAAAAAAAAGGGTCTTTGTTTCCATTAAGAAAGTGAATTCTCTTTCATCAATTATGCATCTCATCAATAACCATCGTATTATACACTGCCAGACATCCCAGACCCTTCATATCGCAACCTATGTTTCCCCAAATACACACCAAAAACTACATGATGTCAGGGTAAATTGCCAATTTCCCCGTTCCTACATTGAAATATAATAATTAAGCTGGGGTGCGTACGTTCTTGGGTCCTGAGCTAAGAGTAATTACACACTTCACACAAGGACAAAAACTTCTATCAGCATGAGTGAACAATTAAAAGAACACAAGATAAACCAAATAAAGACGGTACCCAATTACCAGTCATAGTCATTTTTATCATTATCAGAGTTGAGAAAATCATCAGCACCAGTCTTGCGTGCAGGCGTTGATGATGCGATATTAAATATTGGAGAGGTGCCAGGTTTGGATCCTGCAGGGGGCAAAACACCAGATGAAAAAGAAAGCATAAGCTAAAACAGACCAGAATTATAACTTTGCCCCCAAATTAGAAATTTCCGATACCCATTATAGGACGCAACAATTAAGAATTAATTCACGCTCCAATTAGAAGTTAGGACCAAAAAATTTGAACCAGAGTTCTACGTTAAGAAACACCAGAACCATAAAGAGAGAAGAAAAATAATCGTTTTCAAAGAAAAGATAGCGAGAAAATGACACCTAATGGAGACTCAAGCTCTTCGGAGTTGTTAAAGAGAAGATTACTGTGCTCCTTCTCTCTTTTTCTCATCTCGAGAAACAATGCGAGGTCGTCTTCCTTCTCCTTCATCATTGAAGCCCTAAGTTGCTGCCTCTGCTTCACGGCTGCAGCTTGCATTTGCGGGTCTTGAGCCCTAAAGCTTCGATTCATCGCTCAAATTCCAGAGCACAACTCCTCCAAAAAACAGGAACAAGAAAAAACAGAAGTCGTAGATCAAATCAGTCTAAAGCCTAACTTAAGCTTCTCTCGTTAACGCCTTTAACAACGACAACAGTATTCTCAACAAACGAAATCTTCAAGAGGCTTGTTTTAGCCATAAATAGAAACAATTAGATCCATAACCGAGCTCAAAAATCGCAAATAACGTAACAAAATTCGGCATTTTTCTTCAGACGGAAGCTTAAACCATGAGAAAGACAAGGGCGACACTCAGCTCGAACACACCGCCATTGTTATAGAACGGAGGTAGAAGTCGAGAGAGACCGAGAGCTAAAACGAGCTCGAAGAGAGCGCCATTGTCGTTGCATTGGAAGCAGAAATCTAGGGGTGAGAGAGAGAGAACAGAGAGAGGTTGAGCCAGAGAAAGAGATCGTAGAGATTGAAAATGCGGAGTAAGGAGACACGGAGGACAGAGAAGGAGTGGCAGTTAGCGTAATTAAGAAGCGGTTGGAAGGGTAAAACGGGGAAATCGATAATTTTGTGAGCGATGGATCAACTGTAAGTAAAAGCTCTCGTCGTTTCTCTCACTTAAAGCCTACGTTTTCAGATTTTTTGCTTTTAGGTGGATGGATAATCACGGTAATGCCCTTTATTATTTTTTTAAAGAATAAATGATTATTTTGAATCTAATCAACCAGATTCCAGATATATTACTTAGTTTAAAACATAATGATACGCTTAATTATATTTTAATTTAATAAATTTTATTTATTTATTTAAAATAAATTAACCCATATTTTTTGTAAATTTTTTAAATTAATAACCTAATTGTAATTAAACACAAAACTCACAAATTCTTCCGTAATTTTTAACTTTTTAAACTAAATTTTTAACTTTTACGTTATTTGTATCTATTATGTCTCACATGATTAACTTATTCGTGCTACATTTTGCAAAAATAAACCATATAGTAATTTGATTTGATGCCAAATTATCTTGATCCTATTTTATAATATATTTTTTTTAATAGTGCAAAAAAGCATAATAATACAAGTATGAAGTCGCTTTAGTTATTAACTTCGTTGAAGACAACTATATTTTTGTATTTAAATATAGTTAGATTTTCTTTTCAAAAAACAATCTAATTAGATTTTCTTAAATTAGTAAACAATTAATAATAATTGAAATATTTGTAAAGCTAAGCTTTTTTTTTTTGTGTGCATATTTTGTCGGTGGCGGCGTTAATCAAATAAAAACAATAATCAACAAAATAAAAAATTATATAAATTTAATCAAAATTATTTATTGATATTAAATTGTTTAAAATATTTAATCCTTTAGGATATAAAAGACCTTTTGAACTTCAATTTAATTGGAAAAATGTTATGGCTTAATTACTAATATTTGTATAGACATCAAATAATAACCTACCATTTATAGCTTAACATTTTTTTTCATCACCTAAGTTGCCATGTAAACATCAAATATGAATGATATCTTATTTTTATTTTCTTTAAAAAGGAGGATTTGGTACAAAATTTGGGCACTGGCTTAATAGAGCCCATTGCAGGCCCAATCCGTAAGCAATTCAAAAGAGAGCTACGTGTAATTTTCACATTGGCCCGAAGTTAGACAATATCCTGGTAGGTGTAACAGTGAACAATTCTCCGACACGACCTAAACGCCGCCGTTTCAGGATACCATTCGCTCTTGGGGGAAAAAAAAAAAAAAGGAATAAATAAATAAACACACGAACAAACAGGGAGTGGCAAGCGATAAAATGATTTAAAGAAAAGAATATCCAGGGGTACTAATATTACGTACATCGCTTATACATATTCCCACTTGCCTTCTTTTTTCTCTTTTCTTCTTCTGCTAGATTTTTAAATTATAAAAGAAAAATCGATAGACATAGGATATATACAGAGATAAAATTGCAGGGAAGGAGACTCGGGGACTAGAACGACGTCGTCTCACTGGTGCTAATACAGAACTTGGAGACCGAAAATTTCCTGATCGTTTTGAATGAAGAAGTCGAAAATGAGAAGCGAAGCTAGCAGCAGCAATAGCAGCAACATCAGAGGAGAGAGCGTGGTGGTTGATTGTGGGAGGCGTCGAAGCTCTTGCGGTTATTGTAAATCCTCTGGTCGAACCAGTATCTCGCACGGTCTGTGTTATTTTTCCCCATTTCTATCTGCTTCTTGTTGAATTGCACTGATCCGGTTTAGTCAACGTTATTTTCTTAATTTGTTGATTGATGCTGTTTTTGGTTAGCTTATGGAAGGATATGAATTACATGACTATGTTTG